GGTGGGCTGGCAGGAAAGATATTGTGGCAGTGATTTACCATCATGAAAATACAAAACAAATAAATAGAACATTTTTGAGTTACAATTGTATTTCTTTGTGTGCTCTATGGCCATGGTGGTGAACCTATGGCATGCATGCCACAGGTAGCATGCAGAGCCCTCTCTGTGGGCAAGCGCGCCGTCACCCCAGTCCTAGGCCTTCAGCTGGGTTTTATAAAACCTTTTCACTTTAGGTCTCCGCCGTGTGCAAAAAAAAAAAAGTTCAAGCAATCAAGCAATCAATTTCAACTTCTCGTGGGGAAAAAAAGATCTCGCAAAGTTGAAATTGATTGATTCAACTTTTTAATTCCCAGTCTGCTGTTTCCACAGCAGCCACGCCCACCCAATGGGCCATGCCCACCCAATGGGCCATGCCCACCCAATGGGCCATGCCCACCCAATGGGCCATGCCCACCCGGCATTCAATGATACATAAGTGGGTTTTGGGTTGCAGTTTGGGTACTCGGTCTCTAAAAGATTCGCCATCACTGCTCTATGGATACCTTAGGAAAAAAACAATTGTATCTCAAATGTTCTTTGTTGTATTATAGCTTTTGTTCAGATTGAAAATTACTTGAAGCTTCTGTTTTATTATGCTATCATACTAGAGTTTTGTTTTACATGGCTGTTTGTTACTGACTCCGATTCAGAACTGAACAAAATGCTTTTTGTAATATTATAACATGTTTGCGAATATGTCTCATTTAGCTGTCACTTCCTGAAATAATAAAACCGAGAAGAGTGCCACTAAGGCTGCAGTGCATTTGCATAGACATAAACTGAGAAATTTATTAAACTTCTTTGCAGAACAGATATAATGAAGCCACAACTATGTACTTGTGCAATGATATATTGCAACAGGATGTAAAACCTATTGGCTTTAGTTGGGATTTAGTCCAAGCCACATGAGTGCAGAAGCATAACTTTTGATATGCACTCCTACCCTTGCTAAAATACTGTAAAGTAAGAGTATATAATGTTGGGACTATAAAGCCCAGCTTTTATGCATTTCAACATATATACTTTTGTTTTAAACTCTCTGTGTAGTTAAAACTAGAATATGATCCTTTCGGCTTAAGTTAAAAAAAAAATAGCACAAGTCTTTGAACCTTTGTTACTATGACATTTAAATTTTGAAGCCAATAAGTATTCTGAATAAGTAGAACCTGTTGTATTACTAAACTTTAATCTTAACATATTTCAAAACAAGCAAGTAAATAATATTAAGATAGCACTGCCTCACGTAACAGGTAGTTCTCCACTTATAACCACAATACAGAGTCAAATTCTGTTGCTAATCAAGGCAATTGTCAAGTGAGTTGTGCCTCATTTTACAACTTTTTTGTCAGAGTTGTTAAATAAATCACTATAGTTCTTAAGTGAATCGTGTGCTCATTAAATTAATCTGTTTTCCCCCATTGACTTTGCTTGTTGGAAGCTGGTTGAGAAGGTTACAAATGGTGATTACATGACTCCGGGACAATGCAACTGTCATAAATACATGCCAGTTGCCAAGCACCCAAGCAATGATTATGTGACCATAGGGATGTTGCAATGTTTTTTTCCAATGCTGTAACTTCAAGTGGTTACTAAATGAATTCTAAATATCAGTAAATCTAGTGCAGTGGTTCTCAACCTGTGGGTTGGGACCCCATTTGGGGTCGAACGACCATTTCATGGGGGTTGCCAAACAACGCAGTCCGCCATTTTTTTCCCCCTTTCCTTAGCTGTGCTACTCCCTTTTATTCTATTGGCTTTTGAAAGCCAATAGGAATTGTCCAGGCTGTCTCTGCCCTGCTGAGCCCGTCAAAAGTCCCATTCTGCAAACAGTGCTGCACCAGTTGAGTAGTCCTCGACTTACGACCAGTTGAGTAGTCCTCGACTTAGGACCGGTTGGGGGTCGCGGCATTAAAAAGGTTGAGAACCACTGATCTAGTGGTTATAGTTTATTCAGTATGTACAACAATTCTATTTTTGTTTGTACAAATGATAAGTTGGTAAGGTCAAATCACTATAAAAATCTTGGAGATAATCCTCTTTTTCTCATGACTGAATATTAGTTACATTTTAAGGTGTAACATGTTGGCAATAGATGAAAAATAATCTTCATTCCTATTTAAATTGCAGTTTGGGATGTTCTTTATAAGAAATATTACTTAGTTTATTAGCTCTTATCTGCAAATTACTACATTTTCATTATGCGGTAATATAAAAATGAAAATGTTTCTTTTAATGGTTATAGAGAATACTATCGGTATATAATACAGTGACACTAATATAAATGGATTATACAAGATTTCCAGATATTCATATCTAAGTAACATCTGGAGTTAAACTTGATCCCTAGTAATTTATATGGCAATGTTTTTCAACCTTGGAAACTTTTTAAGATGTATGGACTTCATTTCCCAGAATTCTCTACCCAGCAAGTCTACAGACTTAAAATTGTTACATAGCAGGGCCGTGTTTAGTTAACCATGTTCAGTCAACTTAGAACCATTCATTGAGTGACCATTCGAAGATACAAAAGCACTGAAAAAAGTAACACAGACCACTTTTCACACTTACAACTGTTGCAACATCCTCATGGTTGTGCAATCAAAATTCAGACACTTGGCAACTGGCATGTATTTATAGTGGCTGCAGTTCCCTGGGCTCATGGATCACCCTTTGCAACCTTCCGACAAGCCAAGTCAATGGGGAAGCCAGATTTACTTAACCGTGTTACTAACATAACAACTGCTACGATTCGCTTCAGAACTGTGACAACAAAGGTTATAAAATGGGGCGATTGTCTTGCTTAGCAATGGAAATTTTGGGTTCAATTGTGGTCGATTGAGGACTGTCTGTAAAGCATTTTATCTTTGTTTTATTCTGATAAGTTTCCCTTCCTCCCAAGTTATTACAATAGTTGAGCCTACAATCCTGATATTCCCTAATGAACTCCCATTCAAGTATTAACTAAATTCAACTTTACTTAGTAACAATTTTAATCTTGAAAAAACTATGAAATCTATATATAATACTAGGCAAAATTAACCAAACACCATAACAAATTCCTTGAAACTAAAATAAACTACCAAGAAATTTCTTATTTAGCAATAGAGGCTGGATTTTACTCTAGAAATAGTTTTTTATTCAATATATAGAATTTTTAAAAGAAATCCCTGGAGCATACTCTAAAGCTATAAAGAGATTATCACATTGTTATAGCTTTATTGGATGACCACTATATTTAAAAAGATATTCCCCTACATATCTATACTTGCAAAGAATCTTACTAAACTGATTTGCAGAAAGTAAAGTCTTAATGGATGACTGCTCTTCGAGGTGTGGCAGATTTTAGCTGACCCAGTTTGGTATCCTAACTATAAATGTGTTCCTTGAGAACTTAGAATTGCTTTTATTTGCTTTAATTCCAAGCAAGCATTTTTTTTAAAGTTTCCGAAGTCTTTTGACATATTTTAGCTATGTATGTCACTTTTATTCTATCTTATAGGGGTTTCTTTTCCTCTGCAAGTTAATTTTTCCTCCTTTTTAGAATAGTAACATTTAATGTCGTTTTAACTTTCTCCCCTTATAATTTGTATTCATTATAAGACTTTCTGAGTTATTTTATCTTCGTATCTTATTTAAGGACACAACTCTCATATGAAATATTTTGTTGTTCAGGTAATCAATTATTTAATAATTTAGTTCATAGCTCGAAGCCTAGGATATAATTTTCACAAGCTACATTTTTATAAATATAACAGATAAATGAGCATAGAAAAACTAGGTAGCCTCAGTGAGCAGCAAGCATTGGAGAACTGAACAGGTCTGTAAACAATATTTTCAGTTTTCTGAAAAATCTGTAATATTTAACAGGTTTATAGAACATGCCAAGTAGTGAATGATTAACAAGATCACCATTTTAAGTCTGCCCAACTGCCTTTAATTTTACTACGGTATTGTGGGTTTACATAAGCTTTGTACGTTACACAAACCGGTAACAGCAACCATTATCAGCACCAATCAAAATTTGAAATCTTGCTTGCTAACATAAATATAAACCTAGTTATATTGTGTAAATCATGTCAAAAAGTTTTAGCGAGTGACTTACAAATTCAGGTAGTCCTCGACTTACAACAGTTCATTTAGTGACCATTCAAAGTTACAAGGGCACTGAAAAAAGTGTCATTTGACCATTTTTCCTACTTACAATTGTTGCAGCATCCCCATAGCAGGAAAAGTTGTAAAATGGAGCAAAATTCATTTAACAAATGTTTCACTTAGCAACATAAATTTTAGGTTCAATTGTAGTCGTAAGTCAAGGACTACCTGTATAAAAAAAGTCATGTATTTTTTATTCTTATGCCAGCTCTCCCTTCTTTTCACCTACAATTAAAATTGCCCAACTTCCTCCATCAGAGAAGAATCTTGCTAGTCCAGTTAGTGGACAGAGTAAGGAACTACTCCATTTACATCTCTTTGAAGAGTCTTCACCTACTGGTTACAACACACACCTGATAGGAAAGGAGTACTTCAAGGAGCCTTGCAGTAGTAGAACTCCAATTTTCATATGCCCTTATGCTTAAGTAAATTAAAGATACACAATGAGGCACAAACCCAAAACTATAGCAAACTCCTACAAGTTGATGATAATGCCAAAAGATTTCGGGGTTCACAAACAATCCAGTGCTCCTCAGGTGTGGCAGACCATAACTTCCCTAATCCCCAGCCAGGCAGACCTTTGATCACAGACTGGAAATCACACATGCTATCTGAAGGGGACCAGTTTGAGGAAAGCTGTTCCACTTCTTCTCTCCCTTTATTAACCCACTGGGACGTATTTTAACCCCTACATTCATCTCCTTTTTTCACCTCCCTTCTTGTTCCCTAGGAACATTCTTCCTCGCGAGGAGAACCACCCGCAACAATTCCGCGGAATTGCTAACTCATCCCACAAATTCCCCTCACCGCTTCCTCCTCCAGGTTGGTTGCCCAAACCTGAACTTAAGCTCTGGAGGTGATCACATGGGACGGCAGAGAAGGCGGGCAGAGCGAGGAAGGTTCCACGGCTGTCTGTTTCCATTGGCTCCGCGCAGGCACGTGGCGCTCCTCTCCCACCGCTGGCTCACAGCTGGGTAGCCCGGGTCTGCTGGCAGGGAAAGAGCAGTAAGAGCCGCTCCAGCTAAGTGCCTTAAAGGAGCGTGGAGGAGGAGGAGGAGGAGGAAGAAGGCGGCAAAGAGTTGTTGTTGTTTTTTCCCCCTTGGGCTCGTGGATCTGATTTATTTATTACTGTTGTTTTGCCCGGAGTTTCGTGCCTGAACCCTTCGCGTGTAGGTCGTCGTTTTGCTGGAGCTGGGCGGCAGGAAGGTAGGTCTCGCTGAAGGTAGTTGCGACGTAGGGTAATTTATCTTTTTCCAGAGCGCCGGGATTCGGCAACCTCTTCTTCCCTTGCTCGTGGAGCCTTTCTGCTCTTTTCCCGCGCAACTCGCTCCGAAGTTGGGGGCTGATTCAGAAGAAGTAGGCTAGGCTAGCCGAGGAGGCGAACTGCGAGAAGAGGTGGGTGAGACGTGCCCGCGCTTCTTCGGCCACTTCTCCGCTCGTTTCACAGATAACATCCAAGCTCTCTCCCAGCTGGTTCTCTTTTGGGAATGGAGAGCGCGGGTTTTTGGTAGACCGATCGCGGGCTGTCGACGCGCGGAGAAGGGAGTGTCTTTGCGTCTGAAGCTGGCGCGAAAGCTCGCCCCGTCCAGCCCGCCCGGTTTGCTGAAAGAGCTCCGGAATGGCGCGATAAATATTTGGGCAAGGCTCCTGAGAAGGAGAGATCTGAACGGGATACTCTGGAGGAGGGAGAGATTTAATCGTTTTTCCGGGTTTTATTATTGTGATGCTGCATAGGTATATAGGCTGTGCTGCATCGGAATCTCAATACATTTGCCTTAGGGGAGAAAAAAAGTTCATTGGGCTGGCCACATTGATTAAACCGCTTTCAATTGGCCGGAGAGATGTTCCGTTCCGTACTGCATAAATGTGAGTTGTATGGCGATGGGGGGGGGGAAGGTAAAACTCCAGAACTGAAGCTGAATCGCCTCCATTTTCCTAGCGCTCGGGGCAAACTCAGCGAGGCTGCCTTTAGAGAAAGACTAAACAGAGCAAGCGGCTTCATCTCCGGATTGGAAAACGGGGCAGCTCACGCCCCAAACGCGCCTCTTGGCACTTCGCCTCTTTGCCTTCCCTTCCGACTTCTTCATTTATGCAGAGCGCTGCTGAATTTAGCAGTTTGGCCACGCGAGCTTCAGTTCAATTTAATGGGAGAAGTTGCATTTCTTTCTGTCTTGTCCGCATTGTTTCTGTCTCTTGTCCGCTTTCGTCCTTCTCCAAAAATCTATTAGTCAGTTTGCCTGATGCTGAATTTGTGGGGTTTAAAAGTCTGTTCAGTGGGAAATGGTCCAGACATTCTTATGCAGTCCATAAATGGATGCTCCTTGCACCCACTCGCCCCTCTAGTGGCTAGATTTTTTTTATTATTGTAATCCTTTATGCTAAGCCGGGGATCAAAATACACTTAACTTGATATAAGCCGTAGAATTTGTTTTGAGGTAATAATGAGGATAGGGCAGAAATCCATCAGTAATTCTAGTACTCAAGTTTATTGGAAGTCTATGCTTCAACTCTTCTAATGACTGCAGCCCTAATTAGTACTAGAAGATATATCCTAATGTCCATTTATAAATGCCCATTTTCGTTTATATCAGTCAAGATATATCACGGTCAAGATATATCACAGTTAACAGTCAAGAAGATTAGTTTGACCATGGATTGCACTTCAATATTTTTTAAAGATTTTAAAACAAAAGCATATATGTTGACATGTAGAAAAGCTCTGGTGGTTTTCATATCAAAGCAGAATTTATCATCTCTCTCTCTTACTATAAAGCGTTCTCTTTTTTACAATTTAATTATTTTAATTCCCTTAGTAGCAGGTTGCTATTATAATTTTATAATATTTTGTTCAAATAAATATTTCTTAAAAATTTTCCAAGTATTCTAGTTGAAGAGGCAAAAATTATCCTGGGAACATTTCCTGACATATAATTCCTCTGCTTCAATATGAAGATTAGACCTCCCTAAAATAATGTGAGTCATTAATATATAAGTCTGTATTTCTTATCAAAACCTAGTCAGCAACAATAAAATTTCCTTTAATAATATTAAATACATATTTTAGATAGAGCTTTAGAACACTTAAGATCTACTGAAATACAAGAGTTACACTGGACATCTTGAAGTTTACAGTAAAGATCATACCCGATGATTTTGGTCCATCGGTAGAAGGATAACAGATTAAAGACTTGCAATTTTTTAAGATTTTCTTGTCTGATAAACTTCCAGATCTATTGCCTGTGGAGTTTTGAAAATAATTTCAATAGCTGATTGCCATTTGATATAATTATTAATTACAATCATTTTTTCCTATTTTTCTATATATTGTTTTGCATTGCTTAGGCAAATCAGTTTCCACCCTTATAGATTCTATTTTATATTTCTTTAGTCAGCATCTTAGCTGTGAAACCATTTTTAAAATACTGTTATTTTTATATTTTATCAGTTTCTTAGGAAAAAAACCAAGCACACATTTTAAGAAGGTAGAGGTTGCCTCTGAAAGATCAAAAAAGTTCCAGTTAAAGTACAGGAAAAGGCCTCTTTTCAAGGACTCAATTGTTAACACAATTGGAATTTAGCCTAAACTGTGCAAACATTTTGCAGGAAAACTTTGTATTTTCCTATTCTCGGGCTATGTTTATTTTAATACAAAAGAGAACCAATCATTGGTTGAAAGCCTATGGCCTGTATTTCTACGTAAATATTATTTAGTAATTTTAACATCCATGAAGAAGCTATGTGAGTTGCATCCAGTTAGTATTACATCAGTAAATGGTGCAGACAATTTACATTTCCTCATGCTACCCAAAGGCTGCTGGGGAATCATCCAGAGCACATCTGGGAAATAAAGGAAAGGAAAAGTCCTGCTGCATGGGCAGCCATCTGTTCATATGGTTGGATTTTAGTCTGTGCTTGGTTCTTCAGATAACATAGTTGGAATGTGACTATTGATTTTTCATGTGATTGAAAAACATTTGAATGTTTAAAATATAAGTGAATGCCTAGAGGGCTGTATGCCTAAGGTATAGGTTGACATTTTTAAAGTGATTTGAATAATGGTGCATTTTCCTTGATCAGTCATATATTCTGAACCTTTGGGAGTGCTGTGAGTTTATTCTAGGTAATGGCTGTTCAAGCACAAAAGTTGTATCAGTCCTTCTGTTGCGTTTTGTTTATCTTTATCCTCCATTTAAACCAGGGGTATCAAATTGCAGGTCTGCATGCCAGTTTCATCATACTGAAGCCGTGCCCACCCCATTGCTGGCAATGCAAAAAGTCACGATACGTCGCAACACGTCATGTGACGTGGCGGGTTTGAAACCCTGTGATTTAAATCAATCTTAAGATTGTTGGAAATGTTTTGTTGTTGCTTTTATAGAATATTTAAAAAACAACAACAAACTTTTGTTTACTTGCATTTTAGTTAATCTGCCTTCTGAAACTAGCCACTTGGCAATATTCTTATAGTTTAGCATTATAAGTATGCCATGTTCCAAATTCAGTTCCAAAAATATATTTTGGAATGTATGATAATGTAAAGCTAACACTGTCATAACTCTTTTTTTAAATAACTACATACAAGTCTGAAGCAATGCATAGGCCTGTGAAGTCCTGTGAGCTGAGCTAACCAAATCAGCACTATAAAATAGTCTGCCAAATTATAGGCACACTAGGAGGCAGAGATATTTGTTACAGCCAATTGATAAGCAAAGAATAACATGAGCACCTTTTTATTATATATTGGCATGTTTCTCCTTTGTAGGTAGAAAGTCCTAGAGTTCTATACAACTCTAATTTGGGCATTTCAAGGACAGGAGCTCCTAGACAGCAATAGCTTCCCCAGTTTTTTGTGGTTCCTGGGATGTATTAAGAATAGGTTCTGTCTCCCTCTGTCTCCCTCTCTCCTCTCTATCTCTCTCTCCCTCTCCCTGTGTGTGTGTGTGTGTGTGTGTGTGTGTGTGTGTGTGTGTGAAATATAAGTGTTAGATTTGGGAACTGTTTTGCTGCTTGGAAGCAATTATTTGTATGGCATAGTTTTGTAATGCTTTATGAGTAAATACGTCTCAAAGCAGTTTACTATATATCAGCCACACTGTAAAAAGAAATTCTTTGCTCCTGGAATTTTATGTTGCCAATTAGTCTGGATTAGTATGTTGTACAAACTCAGCCAGAAACTTTATATCAAGTTATACATTTCAATAGCTTTTTTTCTGCTTTTGACTAGAGAAACTATTTTAATTCATATAAATCACAACATTTGAAATAAGCTGGTATCTTGACAGACTTCATTAATCCCACTTAATATCTCCTGAATTTTATCTAATTTAATTTAATTCAGATATTATTGATAGTAGGTTTTATGCTTCTAGTAAATCTGCAAACCCATGCAATTTGATCAGAAAAAGAAAAAAGTATTTTTGGTTATAAAGCAGTCACCAGTTAAACAGGACAAAATCAGAATAATTTGCTGTGTTGTGATGTCATAAGCTCCAACATGATTTATACTGCAGCAGGATAGATGAACACATGATTTCCTGTCCTCAAAAGATTGCAAGGAATGTTAATTACTTTTAATTTCCTTGATTTATAAAATCTCATGGTATGCAGTCACTGTCTCAATACTCCCATCATGAACCTGAGCCAAAAAGAAACAATGATTTGTACAGTATTTAATATGACACTGGCAAATAACTAATTTTTAAATGAAGTCACGTTCTTGATTTTTGCAAGAGCCAAATTCTTAGTCTTCATTTTAATCTTTTTGAAAATCTCTTACAGTATGGAAAGCCTTCATTCTGAGTTTTGGAAAAAAAGCTTATTGAATGGTCCAATATCTTAGACAGGCTAGTAGTGTGGAGTTTCTCTTTATTCATATCATATGATTGGTTATTTTTTAAATATTTAAAAAATATTTAAATATTTATTTATTTTTATATGGGATTTTTGAGGTGATGCATGGTCATAATGTATGGATAACTTTCAATTAGGCTTTAAACTGTATGGTGGTATTTTTTCAGTATGAAAGCCATTGATATTTTTAACCTTCTCTCTTTTACCAATATTGCCTAATTCAGTACAATAAAACTTCTACTTTGGAAGCATGAAGTTGTTAAGTTTGTATTTCTCTTACACCTCTGAAAACTTAACTGTAGCCAATTATTCTTTCTTGCTGTTCTGTAGGTGCTCTCAAAGGAATTGTACAAAGA